GCTGCCGCGCCGAGCCGGGGCCGGCCTGCCGCAGCCTCCCGCCCCTCGCCCGCGCCCCGCGTCCTGCCGGAGCCTCCTCGGCCTCCGCGGAGCGGGCGGAACCGGCGGGGCGCTGCGGACGCGCTGTGCGGGTTCCGGACCTGGGGTGGGTGCTGGGAAGGCGAAGCCCGGGCCGCCCCCCCCTCCCCCAGGCGCGGGGAGAGTTAACTGTGCAGCCCACGGCAGCGCCGAAAACAAATCGTTCCAGATATCTGGAGCCAGTAACTTCAGGGAGATGAAGAGGAAGCGGGGAGGAGGCCTCTCCGAGAAGACCTGCTCTCAGCTGCAGTTTGACCTGGAGGCCTGGGGGGCGGGGGGGCCAGCCCACCCCCCTCGGCTGGCCGGTCCCGGGGAACCAGCCTCCTTTCTTTTGATTTCATACTGGAAAGGCCTCTGGGTTAGCACTGCAAACTTCCCGCCGCCTCTCGGGGTGGAGAGTGGCAGATTGTCAGCTGAAGGATGATGAAGTGCCACTGTGGCTTGTAAAAATCAAGCCCTTTGCTGTTATTGCTCCCTGGGTTTGAGAGACTGTTCCCCCCTCGCTCATTATTACACACACGGAGAGGGGAGACTATAGACGTCTGTAGTTCCAGCTCTGCGCTTCTGCTCTAAAAATGAGAAACCCAGGCGGGCCGTTGGGGGGCGGGGGGGTTCCCCTCTCCCACGCTCTGGGCCACGGTTCCTGGAGCCTCGTCCCGGATTCCCCAGAATTCCTGGAGAGAGCAGCAGGGAGCAGAGCTCACCGCTTAAACCAAACCCCGCATGCCCTAAGGGAGGCCTAGTACGTTGCCCTTTGTTCCTTTTCTAGACAAGAAGAGCCACCGTGTGGGGCCGCCAAAAATGTAGCCCCCTTGATAGAAACCAACCTAGAAGCACCCCCCCCCCCCCGTTTTCTCTTTTTACACCTCATCCATCTCTGAAGGAGAATTAACAAAGTTCTGGTCCCAGGTAGACCGCCAAAAGACCAATTTCGAGTTCTTTCCTCTCAGAAATGGGACTGCAAAGCTCTCGACCCCATCCTTTTCTTCCCCAGCTTTGGAATAGTTCTTCCGTTATTAGCATCCATACCTAATGTGAAGATATCAGTCGCTAAATGAACGCAGAGTCTGCATCAAATCACTTGTAGAAACGGAATTGATATTTTACAAGCTAACAACTTCCATGCTCTAACTAACCCCACCCCCGTTAGTCGAAGGCTATGAAAGAACAAAGGGGATATGAATACGGGGAAAAGTACAGGTGTGAAGGCTGGAGTCCAAAATCTTTGTCTACAGCGTATTTGGAGGGGAGTGGGGCGGAATCTGCCTTACAGATACCGCCTTAGCATAAGCCCTCTTGGAAATGTTTGCTCTGGCAAAAGTGAGCTCTAGACATCACATGGAGCCAGCCTTCCCAGGAACAAAGGCTGGGGGTGGAGAGGGAGAAGGGAACAGGCCCTGTCTGGAAGAACGGCAAGTTCCGAGGCCTGAACGAGAAATGCGTCCTGTTCCTGGGCTGCAGCTGGGAGTCTTCTCCGGAAAGGAGACCTCCCGGCCCTCGCAGGGATCTGGCTTCCCTTGCCTTCCCACCACATCTGTTTATACAAAAGAAGCTGCTGAAGGACAAACAGAACCGTGTTTACTGCGGGTCTCATGCCCTGCTTGAGGCTCCGGACACAGTTTCAAACCTCCTCATAGTGGCTGAAGATAAATAGGTCCCAGAAAAGGGGAAAGAGTAAGGGGACTTCGAGCTAGGGAGGGAGGCATCTCCCCAAGCAGTTATGAAATAATGGACAGATGTGTATTTGGATGGAACGCTGGACTCCCATGTTTACCTTTAAGTCTATGTGGGCCTCAAGTAATTTCACTGTGGGTGTTTGGTTTTTCTTTTTAGTGTTTCTTCACACACACACACAAAATGTTTTGGGTTTTTTTGGGGGAGGGACCTGGGGACTTGAACTCGAGGACAGATACATTTTGTTTCGGGTGGGCTCTGTAAATAGAGCCCACTTGGAGAATGGGGGGCTTTGGAAGAAACCCAAAATGTTGCGGACACTGCTTTTTGCCCAAGCTCTGACGGGAATAGATTGAAAATGAATAGTTTTCACTAGTAAAATGTAGAAGAGTTAATGAGTCTCTTTATTGGAAGAACATATTATTTTAGAATTTATACAGCCATTGGGTGTATGAACCAAATCTAACACTGAAACTAGTCAAAAGTAAACCCTTAGTAATAAATAAATAAATGTTAGAAAAAAAAAAGGAGGAGAAAGGGAAAGGCAGGAGGGAGAGAGGAAAGTGAGGGCTGGAACTCCCTGTCAGAACTGAAAATCAAGGGGTTTGGGCTGGGTTTGGTTTGTTAAGTTTTGGTTTTGGTTTTTATGAGTTTTTCTTTTGTTTGGGGGAGGGGGTGTTTTTATTTGCTAGGGTTTTGTTTGGTTTTGTTTTTAGTACAGGAACAAGAGACGAGACTATCTAAATAAGGGGGGGGGGGGCTTCCGGTGAAGCCGCTGCAGCTCCTGTACACGATGAAGACCTGAGGGACTTTTCTCCTGAAGGAGAGACGTGTCCTACTGAGAGCTGAATGGAACCACCAGCCCAGGAGAGGACCCCTGGGGAAGAGAGCTAAATGAGGACTGCCTGGTTGCACTGGTAGGCTGGCTAGGTGGCTGGGTGGTTAGTGCCAAATCCTCAAAGTAAAGCGAGTGAGAAAGGGCTCCTGCTTGGCAGGGTACAGGCTCAGGCTCTCCTGAAGGCCCTCCACCTCACCCTGCTCTCATGGAACCAGAAGACAGTTGTACACACCTAGAAACAAATCCATGGCGACTTCCTAAGCTTCCCTTACCTAAAAACCAAGAGAAACATCACGACTTATTCTCAAGACATGGCTGGAATTCGAAGAACCAGGGGAATGTCTCTCTAGCTCTCTAAGCTCTCTCTCTCTCTCTCTCTCTCTCTCTCTCTCTCTCCCCCTCTTTCTCTCCCCCCTTCCCTTCCTTGTCCTCCCTCCCTTCCTAGCCCTCTTTTCCTCTCAGTCTGCCATTCCTCTAGAAAAGAGCTTGCTCTGTGACGGCCTTCCTGGGAGATAAAGGGAGCCTCCTCAAGCTTCCGAGCCCCTCCTCCCTCTCCATTTTTCAAAACACCATTCTTTCCTGTTCCAGGGAGGCTGCTGATACCTCATTCAGTCAGCTTCTTCCAGAGGCTTCCAGGGTGTCTGAAACTGTACCTGGGGTTTGCCAATAAACCCTTCTAGGCTTTTTTCTTGCAAATTAGATGTTAAAATGTCAAGCCCCAGGACAGCATGGATTTTCAAATCTACCCAGGAGCTCCACTGTCCTTGAGCCTTTTCTTTCTTTACAGGTAGCTCAGAGTGGCTCCAGCCTCGGATCCAGGGTACCTTTCTCTCTTTTTTTCCCCTCATTCTTCAGGTCCTGAGCAGATGGTGCGGCTGTGCTGGCTGTCATCACTCCTCCTATGTTTCCATGGAAACATGGGGCATAGGGACCATCTCTGCCTTGGGCTCCCTGACAGTATCCTCTGCCTGAGAACTTCACTAAGGCCCCTCCTCCTTACTTGCCTGCTTTCCTGAGCTTTGCAGAACATTCTGGGCCAGCCAGGGCCATTTCAGAGATCCTCTGAGGACGCGCTCCCTGCAAAGGGTTGTAAATTGACTGGAAAAGGGACGGGGGAGGGAAAACCAATACTCATGTCAGGTGGCTGAGGCCAGTTGGGGATGGCAACAAATATGGATACTCTGTCCCTCAGCCACCCTCCACAGTGACTGAGACTTGCCCACATGTCAAATCCGCTGCTTCTAAAGTTTTCTCTGTTGTCAGGCCGCAGGTATTTATTGAGTGTGAGTGTATGTTTGAGGTTTTACACTTTGCTCATATCCTATCACCTGGAAATGTGCATTCCATTATTTTTTTTTTTTAACAAAACCAGGTTTTCCCTGAGGAATGCAGTTTCTTCAAAGTTTCCAACATCCTCCTGGCTACATAATTCATTTATATAGCCACTAAGACATTAATTAGATTCAGAAGTCTGTCGAAACAGCAGAGCTAGGCAAGGTCAGAGGGCAAGCAGGGCAAAGAAAAGAGAGGGGGAAATGACCCCTGGGAGAGGGTGAGGAAGTGGAGGGAAATTTTTCATGCCTTTCAAGTATCAAACAAGACAAAGACAATTTCAAAACCTGGTCAACTACCATAACACTTTTTAGAGAGTTAAAGTTTTGCCAAATGTAAAGAGTCTGTTAGAAACAGAAGTTGATTTGTATGATAATTCTATGCATATACATCTTTAATGTTAATGTTTCTCATACAGCTGCTACAAAGATTAGGGGGATGCAGCTCATATTTTGTGAAAGAAAAACCGACATAGTCTCTCCCACTCTGGGCACACATACAAACAGAAAAGACTGTCTTCCCACTGAAGAGAACCCAAAGAATATCTCTTATCCCAGTTCATGTATATCATGTCATGCTGATTTGTTGGCAGACTAACCCATCATTTCTTGATATGAGATTAGCAAGAACCAA